GGGAAAAGGAGAGGGGCTTAATTTCTCTCTCACACACATACACACACTCTTTATATATAGCGAAGGCAAAAGTAGACACCATATTTAGGAGTCAAAATAGTAGTGAGAAACAGTGAGAATATAAGGGGCCTTGCACAAATGTGGACACACACGCATATTCTATTGTGAGTAATGTCTTCATACTCTACACTAAGTTGATTCATCTAAATTTAATACCCTTAACCTAATGCCTGCTGTCTATTGCTACATCTCATTGCGGGGAATACAGGGCTATGGGGAATTCGAGCAGTCCCCCACTGGCCCTGCACTCCCTGCTTTTGAAATGTACAAGAGCCTTTCAGAAGCAGGAAGCATAGGGCCAGCGAGTCCCCTGCTGGCCCGGCCTTGCACACTTTGCTTTTGAAATGTACAAGAGCCCTGCTCTTGCTACATTTAAAAGGCAGAAGTGCCACCAGTTCCCTGCTGCGCCCTTGCCGCCCCTCCAAGATGGTGCTCCCGTCAGGCCCATTAAGCCAGCTCCCCCAAGCACTGACTTCTGCTCCCCGCCCCTTGCTGCAAGCGGGGGGGGGGGGAAGGGGAGGGGAGGGAGAGAAAGCAACTAGTCGACTGGTCGCTTACATCCCTGCTCTAGATGTGCAGAGCTTCCATTTATTATAGACCAAGATGGTAGCACTGGTTTTCCTAAGGTTACCTGAAACCAGGAGGGCGCCCAAAGTGGGCCAGAGAGGACTCACTTAGCAACTAAGCTACTTAGCATCTAGGCCCCAGTCTGTTCATCCAGTGAACCAGCCAGGAGTGGGATCAGGGACTTACGCTGTTCTCCTAGTGCTCTCACCAGAACAAGGGGGCTTGCACCACTCCATGCAGTTTTCCAGCCAGGTCCTGAGAGCACTGTCAGGGACTTGCCCCACTCCACTTGCCTAGTGTTCCTACCAGGGAGCAGGGTTGGGAGCTTGCAATCCCTGGTGCCATGATCTCTGGCAGGAGCACTAGATGGGCAGGGAGAGTGGCGCAAGCCCTAGCCAGAGGGCTCACAAGCGGAGTGAGGTAAACCCAGAATACTGAATGGGCAGAGGGGAGTGGCACAGCACAAGCACGTATTTTCATGGGGAACCATGGACAGAGCGTCTAGTTCTTCTTTGTAAGACTGGCTGGGGAGGGAGGAGGCCCCATTGCTCCTCCCCTCCCTCCCCATCATTGCCTGCCAACACACCAAAAGTCAGGGTCCACCCATGTGTCCTCTCCTAGCTACACCATTGCAAGAAACATCTCAATTGCTCAGAATGTTAAATGCTAGGCATTGCTTCAAGCTACATTTTTCTGGAGGTTTTCATCCCAAATTGTTCTGACAAATATGAGAAAAGTTCTAGTGAAAATTACATTATTTTGCCCATGTTCAATTGTGGCAAGCTTTTCTTTCAAATGCTCTAGTGTCACTTTGCTTTGGAGTAGGGACTTGCAATTTGGCAGATCCCTTTGTGTTGGGGAGGTGACATTTGCCATCCTTGTGAAAATTTCCTCAAATCTGGCCAACTTAAATTTTTTGAAAAATTGCTGTTGCACACACTCAGTAGAGTTTTGTATTTTACCAGCTAAAGAGGAATTGAGTCAGGGAGTCTAAGGTGAGACTAGGACTTGGATGAGAATGGTGAGGAGTGGAGACTAGCTAGGACAGTAATGTAGGTTCGCAAGGGAACTCATGTTGTCTAGTCTCTGCAACAAGGGAAAAGTATTATCATTCTAGACAATACCCGATACATGTTTCTCTAACCTGGTCTTAAAAATCTCCAGTGAAGGAGATTCCACCTCGTCACTAGACAACACATTCCAGTGCTTATTTTATTCTTAGAAAGTTTTTCTTAGAGTCTAATCTAATCTTCCTTGCTGCAATTTAAGATCATTGTTCTTGTTCCATTCTTGTTGGTTAAGGGGAACAATTTATTACACTTCTCTTTATAACAAACTTTTATGTACTTGAAGACCATCATCATGGCCCTCCTTAGTCTTCTCTAGTCTAAAAACAAGACAGTTTTTTCAGTCTTTCCTCATAGATTATATTTTCTAAAGCTTTAGTTTTTGTTGCTATCCTCTGGGCTTTCTCCAGTTTTCCCACATCTTTTTCTGAAGTGTGATGCACAGAACTGAACACAGAACCCCAACGGAGACCTTATCAGTGCTGAGTAGAGCAGAAGAATTACTTCTCACATCTTATTTACCACTCCTGCTAATACATCCCAGAAACGCATATGCTTTTCTTGCAACAGATTCATATTGTTGATTCATATTTCATTATGATCCACAATAACTCCTATATCCTTTTCTGTAGTACTTCTTCCTAGGCAGTCATTTTATATTTTATTATTTGTGCAGTTGATTATTCCTTCCTAGGTGGAATACTTTGCATTTGCAGTTAGTCAATTTAATTCTATTTTTTCAGGTCATTTCTCCACTTCGTAAAGATCATTTTTAATCCTAATCATATCCTCCTAAGTGCTTGAATCTTGGTATCCTCCACAAACTTTACAGGTGTACTCTTTGTGCCATTATCTAAATAATTGATGAAGACAGTGAATAAAGCTAGACCCAGGACAAATCCCTGTGGGCCCCACACTACAATATCAAGTAAAAATCACAGCACCAATTTGCCACAAAGATCCGTTTTGTCACTGTCCAATAGTTTGATGCAGTTAGTGTTGAGACCACTCTGCTTTTCAAAGATTAAGGCAATGGTGTCAAAATTCCATATTTACACAATTGAAACCTCCTCCCCTGGGAAATTTTACTTTTCTGATCCATTCAGTCATCTCTCTACTTAAGCATGCAAGGGCAAAAAGGATATGCATAAGGTATTACATAGGTCAGTCTTATCCCAAGTTTATCCATCACCATGTTTGTATATTGAACTTCAGCCAGTCAGTGTTAATCAACTATTTTCATAGCTCTACGCTGGTCTTATTTTTCATTTTAGTTTGCAGGTCAGAATAAATCTGTTGAGATATAGCCCTCCTCTATTTTTATGGAGGAACAGAAATACAGATATCTTTGGGGTGGTTATCTATTAAGAATATCCTCAGAAACATATTGGACCAGCAAAGCATACACTGTTTCACATTATAGATTCATACAGCATAGTTACCTGCAAGACATTCTTAAACTTTCAAAGCTCCATGTCTAACACACATATTTCAAAATCTTAGAAACAACATTTGGGGAAAGGTTTCCTTTAAGCGTATTTCCATTTCATATTAGAGAAGGCAAAGTTTCAGGACTTGATGAAATCCCTACTATTTCATAGTCCGACACTACTTCCCCCACCTCCTAGCACAATTCAATAGCCCTTAAGTTTCAATTTGTACACATTCTGGTAGTTTTTTTCCCTATTCCAACCACTCCTTGCAAATTCAGGGTATTTTCTGCCCTATCCACATAGGCACCTGCTCATTTTTTACTCTTCTAACACTGTATCAATATCTTTCTTTGAAACCTTACAAAAATGAAATCTGAACAACTGATTTAAGCATAATCCCATCAGTCATGGAAAATACTGTAATTCTGCAAGAAAAGACTTGTGTGGAGATTTGTTTTTAGACATGCATTGGTGTTATCAAAGCCCCAGTAATCATGTTCCCCTTCTCTTCTAAATCCTTTTTGCTTTGTCAGTAACAGACCATCTTTTCTTTTCCAGATTAGTGATGTATTTCTAACACATATAGAGATGCCTAAAGCTATACACTATAAAGTTACCAGACTAGACATTCATGTCCTGTGAAATCTTGTTGTAAACCTATACATGCAGGGCAGGAGGTCAAAGAACCAGAGGGGTCATTTTAATAAACAGGTATGGTGTGCCAGTACAATGGAGATGGGCATGGTATAAAATCTAGACAGAATTACATACAGATCCCTAAAAAGCAGGTCACAGTGATCCTTTCCCTGCAGCTAGAAAGGAACAGTGGTTGTTGTGGGTTTTTGGGGGGGTGTCTCAGAGCCTGGTGAAATCTCTTTCAAGTTGGTGTGTATAACAGTCTCCTTTAAGCTCTTTTATAGACCCGATACCTGAAACAATAACAATATTAGCTGCCCAAAATACAGGTCACGTAGAAGGCTGAAGGAGAAGCTAAGCCAGACTTCTAAGGTATCTGATACAAAATGCAGGAGTAGAAGAGTGACGCAACAGTAGCTGAGCTTGTGTGTGTGCGTGCACAAGACAGAAGTCACAGAAACAGACAAGGAAGGTGGCAGAAAGCCAAGGACAGCCAGAGAAAGATTTGTAGGATGATTATGAGATCTAAAAGTTTTTGTGTAAAATGTTCTGTAGAAA